CTCTGCAGCTCTGCTGAGTAAAGCAGGTTTCTGGGTTTTTTTAGCTTATTTATTCGCTACATAGTTGCTGAGAGTTGCAGCTGAGAGGTCGGCAAGTCAGGTGGGGAACGTTGGAGTTCTCAGTCACTAAAGCAAGCAAGCCTCCCTGTTTGCATCAGCTGCCTGGCTGCTGGCCGCCATGTAGGCTGCCAGTTAATTTGCATATCTCGGCCCTACTGTGTGAGTGACAGGGGGATTAGCCAATGGGAAGGGTAGCGGAGTGACACTAATTACCATGTTTCTCTTATTAGTGTAGATGATTAAATTATTGGCTGAGCCATGTAGTGTACTGTGATTACTTTCCTTTTTTTATATAACTTCCTGTTTTCTCTGGAATGAATGATTGTCTTTTTTTGTTTGTTAGCTTAGTTATATGTATTTTTCTCAAACTCTTAGTTTTGTAAATTCAAACATTAGGTTAACAGGGTAGTTTTTATGGTATTGCCATTTTATATGTATTATATTTTTTAAATTACTAATACCCATTTTTATTAATTTTAATGTTCTTAATAGAGATAAGGAACAAAGTAACATTAATTTGATATTATAAAGAATTGTTTATATTAAGTAGCAGTTTAAAATCTGTAACTAATGAATATTTGGTAAAAACATACTTGAAATATATTTGTATTTTAGTTGAAAAAAGTGATTATTTTTTATTTTTATTATGGAAGCTCAGAGGATAAATGGAACTCTTAGGATTATTATCATCAAAGGATACCTTAGAGCAGTGGTTCTCAAACTTCTGGCCCTTTAAATACAGTTCCTCATGTTGTGACCCAACCATAAAATTATTTTCGTTGCTACTTCATAACTGTAATGTTGCTACTGTTATGAATCATAATGTAAATATCTGATATGCAGGATTATATAGGCTACCCCTGTGAAAGGGTCGTTCGACCACTAAAGGGGTTGCGACCCACAGGTTGAGAACTGCTGCCTTAGAGTATGGCAAGCATGTCAAACTCAAAGGCTAAAACGGGCCACATAAACAAGTTTAAGTTTATGTGGGCTGCAAAGCAACAAAAGCTTCAATTTTCATAGAAACATAGATATATATTGATAGAGACATGCTGAATACAAAGGCTGAAATAAATGAATAATTGTTAACACAAAATAGAACAGTTTAATAAAAATTAATATTTTTTCTTGAACATTAACTTACCAGACACTGAATAACTGCACAAATTAATAATGTAATGCAATAAAACTATTTTTGTTCTCCGAAAGCGAAATATTTCCTGTTGCGCACACCAAACAAGTCAGTATAAGACTAATGAAGTGGCAATCTGCTGCTCAAATATTTGCTGCTAGTATTAGTGGAGAGATGGTGCAACTGCGTGTAAGGCAGCCTTGGGCAAACTACTGCCCGCGGGCCGGATCCGGCCCGTTTGAAATGAATCAAACTATTGAAAAAAAACACCGTACCCTTTTATATAATGATGTTTACTGTGAATTTATATTAGTTCACACAAACACTCCATCCATGCTTTTGTTCCGGCCCTCCGGTCCAGTTTAAGAACCCATTGTGGCCCTCGAGTCAAAAAGTTTGCCCACCCCTGATGTAAGGTGTGTAAGGGAAATGAATGCAACATGATTATAGTAATCAGTCATTAGCTGAATTTGTAATTTGTTATTAATAACTAGAGGCCAGGTGCATGAATTTGTGCACTGGTGGGGTCCCTCAGCCTGGCCCGCAATTAGGGCCGATTGGGGCGTGGCAGGTTGGCCGGCTGGATGGCCAGGGGGAGGAGGCTGGCCTTGGGGGGGAGGGGTTGCAGGAGGTTGGCTGCTCTGATCGGGCCATTGGGCCAGCTGGCCAGGGGGTGGGGAGGTTGGCTGTGGGAGCGCACTGACCACCAGGGGCTAACTCTCCATTGGGTGTCTTCCACCTGGTGGTCAGTGTGCATCACAGCAACTGATCAACTGGTCATTCGGTCATTCGGTTGCTTAGGCTTTTATATATATAGACTAGTGGCCTGGTGCATGGATTCGTGCAACAGTGGGGTCCCTTGGCCTGGCCTGTGCCCTCTCGCAATCTAGGACCCCTTGGGGGATGTCAAACTGCCGGTTTCGGCCTGATCCCCGCAGGCCAGGCCAAGGGACCCTACCGGTGTACGATCAGAGCCGAGTGGGACCGTGGGAGGGCCCCAGGGCATGTCCAGCTCATCTCACCCAGTCCTGATCAGCTGGACTCCAATAGCAAGCTAACCTATCAGTCGGAGTGTCTGCCCCCTGGTGATCAGTGTGCATCATAGCGACTGGTCAAACGAATTGTTGAACACTTGGCATATTAGGCTTTTATTATATAGGGTTATATATATATAACAGGATATTATAAAAATTAAGTATCAAAATTTTTATTAAAACATTTCTTACATATCGTTACATTGGCTGGGCCACAGATTTGACACGCTTGGTGTATGGCATTTCCTCCTAATGTTTGTGGGGATATGGCTATAATTTAGTGATCCAAAAGACCTGATAAACTTCATAAATGTTTGCCCTCTCCTACCAGATCAGCTCCTTACCAAATAGTCCACTATGTTTAGAAATGCTGTAAGCATAATTCTATTTTATATAAAGTCTTTAAAAACTTTGAAGTGACCAGTTTTTTAAAAAATATATTTTATTGATTTTTTACAGAGAGGAAGGGAGAGGGATAGGGAGATAGAAACATCGATCAGCTGACTCCTGCACACCCCCCACTGGGGATGTGCCCGCAACCAAGGTACATGCCCTTGACCGGAATCGAACCTGGGACCTTTCAGTCCGCAGGCCGACGCTCTATCCGCTGAGCCAAACCGGTTACGGCTGACGTGACCCGTTTTAATTAGTTTTTCAAATTTACTTTACCAGGAGCCCTTTTAAATAACACATTTATGAATGGCCACAGAACTTTACTAAATAACACCATTTTTCTAACTGCAAATTCAGGATCCTTCTGATATCTTTTTCTCTCCGTTTTATAGTGACAAAAATGCTGAGATTCTTCCGTAGAACGCTTGGGCGTCGGTCAATGCGCAAACATGCTGAGAAGGAACGACTCCGAGAAGCTCAACGAGCTGCCACACACATTCCTGCAGCTGGAGATTCCAAGTCCATCATCACGTGTCGCGTGTCCCTTCTGGATGGTACTGATGTTAGTGTGGACTTGCCGGTACGTAGGTCTCACTGACCTGCAGTTCTATATGAGATCACTTTCTTCATTTGAGCTTTCCACTTGATAACTTCCTCGGGGAATAGATAATAAGGGTTAGTGTGGATCAGGCACTGTAATGTACAGGTACATGTATCAGGTAACCTTGGGAACCTGGCCTGATAGTATTTATCTGGAATTAGTGGCCGTTACTTAAACGTTTAAATGATAGGGCAGTTATTGGTGTGAGTCATTTATGTGTGTGTGTTCTTTACAATGGTAGTATATAGTGTACTCCAGTGGATTTCTCACAATGCTTGTTGAGCAATTATTAAAGCAATGAAAATCTTTGGGAACCAGAATGATACTTATATGCATATTGTAAGACTTATTTCTCTATCTCTTCTGCAGTTTTTAAAACATTCTTTACCTTCCTTAAAATAATACTTCTCCTGTGGTATGCTTGCAGAAATTGTAGTGAAATGAAGTGAGAAAAAGGACTTCCTGTATATTCCTCAGTTCTGACTGCCTGTCTTTTTGCTCCTGAAGACTTTTGCTGGGGAGGTTTTTCATACACTGTGATCCTTATTTCAAGACAGGGTATTGTAATTATATTCAACTTTTGGGTAGATTTGTTTTTTAATCCTCACCTGAGATCTTCCCATTGATATTTTTTCTTTTTAGAGAGAGGGAAAGACACAGAAAATCATCAATGTGAGAGAAACACATTGATTGGTTGCCTTGTGCACAAACCCCAAACAGGGGCCAAGCCAGGGAGGAGCCTACAGCCGAAGTACATGCCCTTGACTGTAATCAAACCCGGGACCCTTCAGTCCACAGGCCAATGCTCTATGCACTGAGCCAAACTGGGTAGGGCTGCGTAGATTTTCTTTACAGTTATGAATAATCCTAGCTCACAGTGTGAAATAGTCCAAAATATTTGAAAGGGATTAACTTATTCCTTATAGGCGGTTTCTTACTAATGGCAAATCTCTTTCTTCACTTTATCCTGCATTGCAAGAATACACTGTAAAGTCTGTGATTTGATGAGAGAGAGCATCATTGGATGTTCCACAATGTCTCCCCTCCCCACAAACTCAGTATACATTCATTTACCCAAAATAAAAATTTTTAAGGTCTGTTTTAAAAATTAAATCTTTATTGTTCAGATTATTACAGTTGTTCCTCTTTTTTCTCCCCATAGTTCCCCTCCACCTGGTTCCCACCCCGCCCTCTGCCTTTACCCCCCCATCCCCACTGTCCTCATCCATAGGTGCACGATTTTTGTCCAGTCTCTTCCCACAGCCCCCCTCCCCCCTTCCCCCCCCACGAATAGTCAGCCCACTCCCT